ACCAAAGTGTTGATGAGACGATGCCACACGGATAGACAGGCTGCCTCCTTCTCTTGGGTGGGCTTCAACAACAGGATTTGCACGAGTACGGACAAGGTACTCGGATAGACCTGCAGGGGCCAGGTGTTGGTATCGGTGGACCAGGGCGATATGGACAAGTGCTGCAGTAGATTGGACTGCAATTGCTCCGAGAGCAGCGAAGTGGAGATTAAATTGTGGATATAGCGTCCGGCAGCGCCCGAAAAACGAATCATCGAGGTTTGCCACTTTGTAGAAGCCCCTGCGGAGGATCCTGCTCCTGCATTAGCTGCTGGGGCGTTTCCGGACACCTGCTCGCTCTCATTTCGCATGACATCTCGGTCGAAATCCTTGATTATGTTGGCCATTAACAGCATTTGCTGATCACTGACTCCCGCCTTTACATAGCGCTGCATGTAAGCGTGACGATTGGCCAGAAATTGGTCCAGGAAACAAAAGATGTCGGCCGCCAAATCCAGATATTCATGTGGCTCATCCAACTTTGGAACAAGAGCGCTCTTTTGTTCGCCACGCTCTTGCGTGGATGTATTGGCATTGTCGTCATGGGTTTCTGGGGAAAGCGTTTCCTTGAACCAATGCCCCAGGTAACTCTCACTGTCATCCTCCTCCGAGTTGTCAGAGCAGGAGAGAGAATCGTTAAAGTAGGTAGTAGAATCCGAGTAGCTAATGGGTTCACATTCCGTGCGATCCTTGGCCGAGGCTCGCCTCAAGGTGCAGGCCTTGCGATAAGCCACCGTGGCCAAGAAGGTGAATAGCTGATGCAGCGTGGCCGTGTTGAGCACCCGCACAATCCTCTCCAGCGAACTGTAGTTCTGCAAGATGTCGAACTGCGCCGGCTCCGGCAGCTCGGCGGTTTCGGGGCTCTGTCCACAGGCGGACTCAATCTTCAGATCCTCAATTAACTCTGAGAGCAGTTTGATGCTGTGGTTGGCAATAGCTGCATTAAGCTCACCGAATCCTTGTTGGACTTTGAATAGGTTGACCCTGGCTATGGGTGTGGTGGGAGCGGTACCCGCCTCACTGCCAGTCTTGGCCGCTTTGTTTGCCGATTTGGATGCAGTCTCCGAGCTGGTTCCACCGCTTCCAGAGGCACCCATCGCTCCTTGAATTCCGCTTATCAGCAGCCAGCTGCCATAGCACAGATGGTTCTGGTACACATGAATCCTGGCCGACGCCTTGAACATATCGCCAATGTACGAGTAGATCTCTAGAGCTTTGTTCACTATGCTGCAGGCTTGCTCCTCGAAGTCGTCGTGGTCCTTGTTGGTTTGTCCAGCACTTGAGCCTCCGCCACCACTGCCCTGACTAGTGGACGCAGTCTGCTGCTTCTGGGAGCTGCCGGCCTGGCTCATTCCAAGCACACTGGTGGCTATCGAAGTCAGCACAGCATTGTAAAGCGCAGCAATGCCGCACATCGAAAGCCGCTCAATCCGACTGGGAGTCAGTGGCTGCAGCACAATCAAAGCATGGGCCTGACTCAAAATGGTGAGATCAGTGAGCATGTGATTCATGCTTGATTTTACGGTGGTAGCCTCCACTTGGGTGAGAGGCAAATACAGCGGTTTGCCCCCATTGATGGTCTCCATATATTTGGAGCGGTAGCGATTTAGTATGGGCAGGCCAACACACACGTCCAGCAGGGTATCAACTCCATTTTGCTCCTGGAAGTACTCCACATTGGCCGCAAGAAGTTGGTCCTGCAAGGGTAAAAATTCAATTAAGTATTTCTTATGTAATATAGATGATCAGTCTTGGTAAAAGGAAAACCGAGGAAAGGTGTTGCATGTCTAGTCTGTTTACTTGTGTTTTGATAAACAATTTTTAAGTCTCACTTGGTGAGGCATTAAATTGAATATCATAGTGTAAGGAGCATACACATTTGTTATGAAAGGAATAAAGCTTACAGTGCAGTCGGTGACCTCCTCGCTGAGTGGAACCCACGTCATCTTGCCCGGCTCCAGAGGTGCAATCAGTTGCTGCAATATGACCGATGAGAGGTCCGACCGGGATCGCTTAATCTCTGACTTGGGCGACTCCTTGTCGTTGCTGGCACCGCTGCCGGACGAGCTGCTGCTGGGTAGAATGCTTTTGTTGGTGGACTCGGGATGCTTGCAGCTCTTCAGGACATTGGCCACTGCATTGTAGTCGAAAATGGAAGCCGCCGAAGTGGTGGAGGCGTTCTCCCGGCCCTCGCAAAGCATTTTGAGGGCGCCCAGGAGCCATTTGGTCTCGTAAACGGACACCCGGGGCAGCCTGTAGATGATGAACCTGATGAGCACCGCTGTAGCATCGTGTAGCTGACAAATCTGCGTCTGGCAAACTGCAAAATACAAAGATTATTTATATATATACATATATATATATAGCAAACGAACGCGAGTGAATCACGCATTTCTTGGCCAAACATTGTGTTTTCTTTGGCGAAAAATCATTAGGGGTGCACTTACTCGTCTTGATTTGCATAAGTTTGTCAGCCGCCAGGGCCGCAAAGGCCGTGTAAAACTGTGTGAAATTACTTTCCTCTTCGAAAAAATCATGTTCGCTAGAAAAAATAATAAAATCATTGCGTTAGTTCTCGAAATTATAGAATTTTCAAAGCTTTTGGCTGTTTCGTCACTTTGGGGCGGCCATATTTAATTTTGCAAGTCACTTTTTGCACTTGCAGTCCCCAAAATATTTTTCACTGCGCCATTTGGGGGTAGGGAAAAAATTGAAATCAACTTTACTTACCATCGCGTGATTGCTTTAAGCAAAATAACTACTTCATTTTTGTTTAAGGCTCCTGTACGGTTGAGTAGCAGAGCTTTTACCACGGAATTCCAATCCGTTCCGCCGCTGTGGGCCGACATTATTGTTTAAATTGTCGTCAAATTGCCTGAAAGTACTCGGCCTACTGTCAGCAGTGTGACCAGATCGGATTAGCGGATAAGTACCTTGCGCCCAGGGCTGGCAAGCATACTTTTTGCTTAAAGAAAACTGTAAAAAAACTCCTTATTATTCAATAACTTTGTTGTCAATAATTATTTGTCTTGTGTTTTAGTTTTTACAGATTAAACCATGAAAGCTATGAAAACTAGATTTGAATTTTAAAGGCTATTGATGAAAGTAACAAACATCATCAATAAAAAGTTAATTCACCAAAATGTGACCTAAAATAGATACAATATGGCTATTTACTAAACGGTTTGTTAAAATTGTCCCATAAATATTAAACTGGTTAAAATTTTTAGCAGTTCAGCAACCCAGAAACTTCTAAAAATAATGTTAAATTGCTGAAAGGCCTAGGTATTTTCTCTTTTCTACATGAAAGTAATCACCAAATATATGCATTGTCCATTGTTTGTTAACAAATCCATTACTTCGTATATTTTTACTTAGGCATTCCTATTGACTTTTGAGCAATTCAGATATTTAGTCGTTGAGGGAATAGCCAAATTATTTCTGGAAAAGATTATCCATATTCCTTTGTAAAGTAAGAATTAAATATGTTCTGTTGTAGTAAATTCTATAATTAAATTTATATTCATTTTAAAATTGTCAAAAGTTGTTATCAATTTTGGATATACTTTATTGAAACAAATCAACAGGTGTTATTAAATTTTTTCCAGTGCACCTCACAAGGGCATAACGCTATATCTGTATGAAAAATAAAAATACCAAACCGGCATACTTAACATTTTCCTTCAACTCCATAGGACAACACTGGCCAGGTCGCATGCTGTTTTGTTTATAATTTTTGGCAATGCAGTTTCATTTTAAAATCGCGGACGCTGAACGGGATCGTGACAATGCGGCGGCGAGCAGCAATGTGGGCATCAATCCCCACGCCTCCCTGCAGCCCCAACAACCGGCGGCAGTGGCGGAGCCCAGCACGGATGCACAGCACGAGATCAGACTTCAGTTGGTTGACGACATTTGGGGATCCTCTTGCGTTAGAAACCAGTTGATAAATTCATATTTTGCAGGAATATTGTGGCCACCTTCTCGGTGAACTGTGAACTGGACCTCAAGGCAATCAACTCGCGGACTAGGAACTCGGAATACTCGCCCAAACGCTTCCGCGGCGTCATTATGCGCATGCACTCGCCCAGGTGCACGGCTTTGATCTTTCGGACGGGCAAAATTATCTGCACGGGTGCTCGCAACGAAATCGAGGCGGACATTGGATCCCGGAAGTTCGCACGCATCCTGCAGAAGCTGGGATTCCCCGTCAAGTTCATGGAGTACAAGCTGCAGAATATTGTCGCCACCGTGGACCTGCGATTCCCCATCCGCCTGGAGAACCTCAATCAGGTGCACGGCCAGTTCAGTTCCTACGAGCCGGAGATGTTCCCCGGCCTCATCTACCGCATGGTCAAGCCACGCATTGTTCTCCTGATCTTCGTCAACGGCAAGGTTGTCTTCACCGGAGCCAAGTCACGCAAGGACATCATGGACTGCCTGGAGGCAATATCACCCATCCTACTCAGCTTTCGAAAGACGTAGTAGGATCTTGGCATTCATATGTTATCTCTACTTTTAGTTAGCGTAGATCTTATATTATATTATTTTGGAGAAAATGTACTCAGCACCAGTTTCAGTCGGACATTTTTTAAATTTAAGGAATTTGTTCTTATTTAAACGTATGTTATTAAGCAAATAACTCATTTGTCATTTTAAATACGGCTACATAAGAATTATATGTTTCAATATTATTTGCTAATGCAAAGCATTGATAAAAGGCCATAGCCATCCGAACATAAAAAATTTGTATTTAAGCTTAAAAAACAATTTCATTATTGATCGTTTTTTATTTTATGTGTTTTTGGGAAACCAATTTTTAACTTTATTGTCAATATAAGTTTTATTTTAATGTCTGGGTTTTGCAACCTTTATTTGGTTATATTAATAAACAAATAAATAAAGCTAAATCAGCATTTGTCATCAGGAAAGAAAAGACAACCAGTAAAACATTACTTTCATTTATTTTCAGGCTTCGTTTATTACAAAAGAAAAGAAAGGTTACTTCATACAGAGATTCGATTCTTATTGTAAGGGAGGGACTCATCAAAGTTGTATACAAACGGGGTATTTCATTCTTCCTCGCTTTTTAGCTTCATGTACATGGCTATGTGAGATTTGTGTATAGAATTTACAAACTAATTGTGGTTCATGTGGAGGGTGTATAAGTAGTATAAAACTTACAAGCTATGCAGATTCATTATTTGCATAAATTAATTGGACGGTTTCTTCAACGTTTTTCGCTTCATTTCGTTTAAAAATGTTCAAGAGTTTGGTAATACAAAATAGATAAATTTCCATTCGATATGCAATGTAATGCTAATGCAAACATTTTGTCAAGATACATTTGCTAATGATTTCTAAAATCTATTAAAGGCATTTTGTGAAAGACACATTGATTGTTTTTTTTTTTTTTGTTTGTTTGTTTGATTCCCCACTTGGAGCCCGCTCTATGATAAGGCATAGTATGGTTCATTTGGACTTACAACTTACATTAGGTGGCTACATGTGGTCTGCTTTGTGTGCAGCAAAAGATTCTTTGTTCAGCAATAAAAATAAAAGTTAAATTACGATTAACTGCTGTTTTGTACATTCGATTCTACAGCGGGTCTATTGGAGTTCTACAGAGAAAAAAACTAAAAATAAAACCAAAATGTTGACCAGCATTTTTGGACGGAATGCAATTTCGTTGGTAAACAAAAAAGACTACAACTCAAAACAAAAAACTTCAAAATAAACACACAATAAATGAACAAAAACACTACAAATCTTAGCAAAGTGTTTCGATGGTGACTTTGTGGATATCTTTCATGCTTCCCTATGTGAGCAGTTGCATCATGTTCAGGACCAGGTGCGTGCGACTCCGCAGCAGGTAGATGAACACGCTGAAGAAGAGCAGGGACATGGACATGGAGGCGCGCCAGCCCATGTTGTAAATGGAACAGTACGGACACTGTGAGCTGCCGCACACTTCGCAGATGTTCAGCAGATATGTGGGCAGGGCATCGAATATCGATTCGTTAAAGCGTTCTGTAATCACAATGGGCCAAATATGGTTTAATTTTGATAGTTAATTTGCATTTATGTAGACTGAACTTACCTGGTGCATAGTAATCGTAAATCCGCACTGGCAGATAGCGCGACATATTAGCCACTGGATACCAGCGTTCTATGGTGAAGTTAACACAGATATCCTCTTTATCAAGCTGTTGAAAAGGAATCAAAAGTTAATCATTATTATTATTAATTAGCTAACTTGTTTCTTACATAGTCAAAGTAAAAGACAATCTTTCGTTCCAGGTAGCGAGCTCTCCTCAAATTCCTGACGCGATTGCTGAGCACATAGCTGTCCAGTTTTTGCTGCTGTATCCAATAGCCCGTGGGTATGGCCACATCCAGAACAGCCATGCCCGAGCGCTCCGACTCGGCGCTGTTTATCCAGCTAGGTTTATATAATTATTTTATTAATGTCTTATATATTAAACGCTGAGTACACTCACTTCTGACAGGCCACGTAGGAAATGTGCGACTGATTCCTGCCATGGAAGATGGCCTTCGTATGAAGTCCAAAGGCTGGCACTGGCGGCTTGGTTTGGAACTTCTCAATGTCCACATTGTACTGTACATGCATCTGCAGGATGGCATAACCAGCACCCTTGGCCTGGACCTTAATGGTGCCCCAAGCGTCTGGAATCTGAAAAAGCCAAGATTTATTATGTAATTTTTATGTATTTGAAATATAATTTAAAAAATCCCACCTCGATACTTTGCAATTTCGCAAGATTAGTGTCATCAATGTAAAGGGTTTGCGTTTTTCCGCCCTGCGAAGAAGCCTCAATTTCCACGGTCAGCGAAGACACCTCGCGCAACCTCGACCGTACAGTGTACTCCACGAGAGCCTTAAGTGCTGCACTGGTGTCCTGGGTGGAGGCCCATCCGCCGTCGTTCAAACGCTGCGAGTTGAGCCACCTCACAATGGGATCGACGAAGAACTCACGACGCGCCACATAGACCAACAGCGCATAGGCGGTGGTCTCTATGTTCAGGGAATCATATTCATAAGGCAGTCGCGGCAGGGAGAACCACTTTTGATTCTCCAATTTTCGAGGCGGTTGTGGGATCTCCTGATTGCCCCAGTACATGAAATCACCAATAGTCCTGGCATGACGTCGCAAAATGGTGAACACCTCCTCCGCAATGGGAGAGTTGCACAGCTGCAGGGCGTAGGCTGTGATGGCCACATCATATGGTTCGGCCACGCGTTTCAGGTAGTCCATATTCCTCTCTATGTAGGCCAGTGCTCGTTGGGTGGCCAAAGCCACACGGGACCCCAGAGTGCCGGAGATATCCTTTACAGTGGCCAGAGTGATGAGGACATGGGAGGTGAGCGTGATGTTCTTGTCAAAGTTGGTGCGATTCATCTTTCTGTCCGGCAGCCAAGTGACCTCGTAGAAGGATCCCTGCGGCGTCTGGTGCTGCAGGAGCCAACGCATGTTCTTCTCAATAATGGTGGCATCGATCCAAATGAAGTTCTCCCACTCGTAGAAGCTGGCCTCCTGGAAGACGCGCAGGCAGTAGCTGGTCAACCAAACGGACGAATCCGAGTTGTTCCAATCGGAGCGGAAGAGCGAGAAACTGCCATCGGGCCGCATAAAACTCAACTGCCGCTGATAGCCAATGTTCATGTGATAGAAGGCATTCTTCTCCATGGTTTTGTTGCGCTGATTGATCAATCGCATGTACATAATCGTGTAGAGATTGGCGGCGAAACTGAAGGCATTCTGCTCGCCCGACTCCATGGGCAAGTAAAGCAGCGAACTGGCATTCACGGGCATGGTGGGAAAAATGGGACCCACCACATCGCCCACAACCGATATTCTAGCCTTGTTCGAGCCGTAAACAAAGTAACGATCCACCTGGTAGGGAATCTCTGGCGTTTGGGTTACATTCACGTGCATGTACTCCAAGACGTAGGCGCGATTCGAAAGATCCAGCAGCACGGATTGATGACGATACTGTGGCAGACCGTCGGACTCCACATGCAAGGTTCTGGTAATGGTATCTGTTCCCAGCAAAGTGGCCACGTGCAGGGTTACGTCCACGTTGCCCAGACGCTGGGGCACCACTGGCACATAGACCACCGTGGTGCCTTGTGCCTCCAAGTAGATGAAGAACTGGTGCTCACCAAAGCTGGTCCGGGGGTTATAGGACCGCACAATGCCATCCTCCTCTACGTGCACAAACTTGTAATCCGGACTGCCGTGCAGCACAACAATGGCCTCGATGGGAGTGGTCATGTAGTTGAACACAGTGACACGGATGCCCACTTGCTCTCCCTGTCTGCAAGCCTCCGGCATTTCCACGTTGATGAAGAACGGCTGAACGCCCACGTACTCCAAGGCCTTGTTGATCATGCCGAAACCCTTGGATGGACTCACACTGAACGCACTCACCATCCAGTAGGCGGGACGATCGGGCACCTCCACATTGAAGATGTATCGACCATGGGGTCCGATATTAACATCCTTCCACAGCCACACGTTCTCGTAGTGACGCAGCACGCGATTGAATCGATACTTTCGGTAGCTCAACAGCTCGGTGTCATTCCTCACATGGCAGTTGAGCTCGTCGGTTCCATCGTCACAATCAGGCATTCCATTGCACTGCTTCTCGAGGCGATAGCATCGTCCACTCAAGCACTCACCGAAGCCCAGGGTGCGATTGCAGGTGTCCTGCCGCCTGGGCACATAGCCGTCCGTAAACACGATCAAGCCACTGTACTCAAAGGTTCGATTCGCGTCGATGCCGAAGGACGAGGCGGGGAAGTAGACCAACTCATCGGGGTTGCCCTCGTGGGAGTACCAAATGTGCTTGTATGTGCCGTTGGTCTGCTCGTCGAAGTTCGACATCTTGGTAATGATCTTGGCGTAGGTCAGTTCATTGCCCGCTTGCATCGTGTAGAAGGCACTGTCGATGCCAGAGAGACCCACATAGGAGCCGGGTTCTCCAAAGATGGCCACCTCCACTTTCTCGCCCGTTCGCGCCTTGCGATTGTTGATGTACACGGTGAAGTTGTTTCGCGAGATGCCGTTCACCGGGAACGTTAGGGAATCCGCCACCACCTGTCCCTGCTGGTTAATCTTCCACACCACCATGGTGGCCACAGGTGCCATTTCGGAACTCAGTACCACAGCAATGGTCTTGATGCCCTCCGTGATGGTCTCACGATCATTGACCAGAATAACACCCTTCGACATGATGAGATAGTTGAACTCCTCGAGGTAGAAATTCGTGCGAATGTGGAAAATGATGTACTCGCCAACCACAGGCTTTTCGGTGCTGGTGGTTACCTTGATGTGCTGGTTCCTCGGCGAGAAATGGGACACCAACAGAAGATCCGTTTGAATGCGTTCACCGCGCGGATCTATGAAGAGAGCCTGCAGCCGCATGTTCTGTATGCCGTTCAGGAAATCCCTCGATTGAGGGCGGTCGTCCAGGTTGAGATCATTCCGAATGTCGATCTTGACCTCCCAGATGCCATCGCTCTGCTGGGACATCTGCAAGCGCTGGGTGGGCCAATCCCTGCGTCCGCCATTGCGACTCTCCACAAAGCCGGTGACCTCCATCAAACCCTGGCGCAGTAAATTGGCATCGATTGGCGAACCATCGTGATACTCTACCGCCAGATATGTTGTGAACGGCATGGCGGGCTTAAAGACCTGTGGGGATTCTCCCAGGAACGCCACTCGCAAACTGGAGTTATACACCCTGGCAACGGCGTAGCCACTGATGATCTCGTCGTAGAACTTTTCACCCACGGTGGCCGTTATCAGCACCTCCGAGTTGGCCAGATTGCGCACGAGCCCCTCCAGCTCCCGCAACGGCCACTTAAAGTCAAAGGTTCCGTTGAAGTAGCGCAGGTAGGGCAGCGTCTTCCGATACGTTCCACCCCATGTGTCGTAGCTGTCGTGGTATTCCGGTTTCCTCACCCAGAAGGGCCATTCCTCATCGAACTGGTAGTGTCGCTCCGCCACATACTGATTCCCGTACAGCACATCCTGCGAGAGATCCGCTCCGTCCTGGGGCAGCTGCCCGGGCACATTGTACTGGATTTGAGGATTCTGGTTGGCATTGTTGTACCGCCATCGCTCATTGTATCGATTGGTTTGCTCCAAAGGCGACCGCCCCAGGCGATACTTCTCGTTGAGCACCTGGTTGCTAAAGTACCCAATTGGCCGGATCGTCGCCTTGAGAGTGAGATTACCTCTAACTGGCAGACCACTGGTGAAGTTGGCCATCACCCTGCCGTAGATGTACTGATCCGTAGTAAAGAAGTACGCCGGCATGGTAACGTTCACTTCGAAGCGCGTCTGGTAGTACTCCTCCACGGTGAAGTGACTCTCCTCCTGTTGTCCCTGGGCAATCACACGGATGGTCCACTCGCCAAAGCTGGGCTGATCCGCCAGCTTGTACTCCAGCGAAACGGAACCCAAGTTCGATTGGCTACGATTGATAAAAAAAAAGTTGAAATTCAGTATCTTTTTCTAGGAATAAATGGTGGCGAATATAATGAATACATATAAGCATAATTCTTTGCTATTTAAGAATACAATTTGAAAACTAGTTAAATTAAATGTAGTAACGACACTTACCGCGAAAGCCAGCGCTTCAGAATATGCCTGTTTGGATCCAGCATGTACACGTCCACGGGATTGTCGAATCCCTTGAGTTCGGTTGTGATGGGAATGGTCCTGAACCTCACCGTTTCTCCTTGCATGTAAAGCGGCTTGTCGGTCTGCACAAATATCGTCATGGATCGCTGTGAGAAGTCCAGTCGTGTTTCGTTGAGGAAGGCCAGACCACCAAAAACGTTTTGGTAGAAACCCTCCACTCTGAGTTTATAATTTCCAGTCACACTGGTGGGTGGGATCCTCATGAGCAACGTCTCCGGGACACCCTCCTTTACATCCTTGGAATCTCCGCTGATTTGGACACCATCGCAGGCGATGCTGGCATGAACGGTTATGGGGTATTGAGCTTGCAGAATGGACACCGACACTTGGTAGATTAGGCCAGGTCTGACCATTCGGGAGGCCACAATGAAGTAGGTGGGCTCCCTCGAGTGCAGCGACTCCAGGAAGTTGGCTTTGATGTTGTAAGAAGACTTGCCTCGGGTCAAACTCGGCTCCTCGTTGTCCTGATAGCCTCCTCCCACTGTTTTACCGAACTCATTCTGTCCGGTAAGATCGTTGAAGCTTCCCGAATCGGTCCTGTACGGCGGACGATCGTTGGGATTCGTTTGGGCATTATTTAAATTATTGCTGCCATATTGATTCGGCTGGGCATTGTTGCCATATTGGGCATTGTTGCCATATTGATTCGACTGGGGATTATTGCCCCACTGTTGGTTGGGCTGCAGCGGTTGCTGGGGATTCTGCTGAGCTGGGTTCGGGTTGTAGTACGTATCGCTCTGTCCGACCGTCGGCTGCAGTGCATCCAAAGCGGCTGCTATAACGAGCAGGGCGCGCAGCAAGTGCCACATCTTTGCTGCTTGTCTGCGCTGAGGAGAAGTCAGAAGTGAATGAATTAGAACCACTGAATACAACTGCATCTCCCAAATACTATAAATAGAGGGCACTGATTTGGGTGTTCTGTCTGTTGTTTGATGCCTTTCCAATAGGGTGTATCAATTTAGTTTTCAATTACAATTTTTTTTGATTTTATTTAGATATAACAAATTATTGTCTTAAGAACCCAATTCTATTGAAACTAAGATTTTGTTTTGAAATTAAGTTATCGTATTGGCATTTGACATAGATTTTTCACATTTTATGCTTTAATGACCGACACACCCTAATGCCCAAATCCATGGGCTGCAACTCATGTTCGAGGATATTTGTCGGTTGGTTGATTTCCGCGTGCTGCGAACCAGTCGTTAATGAGGGCGCCGACATAGGTATTAATAGACTATAGACTCGATCTGGCAGGAGCAATGAACGAATCTTAACGGAGATCATATGCAGGGGCGGTCGGCACTATTGAAACTATGTCAAACATTAAGTAAAATGTCATTCGAGTGGGCGGCTGTGCAATTAGTCTTAGACGGAGAGATGTGTGCCAGGCAGGGATTTGGGACATCAAAGTTTCCCGCCCAATGCGTTTTTAAAGCCTCTGTAATTTATTGTTGATTTGGAGGAGATTATGAAATCCATGCACCACAAACCACTCTGATGACGAACAGAATTATGCACCCAATGAAATGTTTATTACTATTTCCCTATAAACAATTCTAAATAGGTTATCATTATCGATGTGAAGCTTTTAATGGTGCCTTTTAATTAGTGCTTGAATATAAATCTATATTTTTAAACAAAATTTAAACGGATGTATTTTTCAAAGTTAAAATTGAGGAATAAATCTTACTAATAATAATATTCGAGCTTAGAAAGAAAATAATATTTAAATCAATTGTGTTTAAAGAGTATTATATAATATAATATGTTGAACACGGGTGTTTTTTTTTTAAGTGTTTTCCGTTATATACCTATTTAAATACACATTATTCTGACTTCATAATAACTTTTGCCAAATATCGGTGGTGGAATGTTTGCAACCTTAAAAAATGCACATAATTTAGGGACTCCGCCTTATCAGCACACAATCAGCCGGTAGACAGGGAATACATCATTGGAGCAAGGACCTTTAAACCTCCCTACACGGATATTAACTCCTTGGGCTAGGTAAAAAGTCAACACTTTGAGGCAACCATACAAAAGGGACCAAATAGACAGAACAATGGGGCACCGACTTCTACCATAATGTAGAAAGCCGAATAAGGTGAAATGAAACTGTAGAACGGAGGGAGTGTGTATGCATTTGAAATGCATTTACCGGCGAGGAAAGGAGAAAAAGTAACACACTGGAACTGAGCGAAACACGCAAATAAAACGGCCGCTACCTGACCATAGACATAGGTATCTGTATCTACATACATACATGTGCCTGGACGAGATAGAGATACTCTGTGCACTTCTGTGCACTGAAGCAGCAGAAGTTACTGGCCTATAGGGGTCTCTCTACTACTCTCGGCATGAAAACAAATACCGAACTCGTAATAATTTCAACAACAGCGACTTGTAATCCACCCTTCGCACTCATCGGCACAGAAAGAAAAACCAGTTACTTACATTTATTTTATAATTTTTTTCAAGAATTCTTCTTTGTTTATATCTTCAGATTTGTTAATTATTATCGTAATGATATGGTTAAATTAAAAGATCTATATTATTAACAGAAATGCTTCAAAATTCACCACTTTTAGTTAATAAAATTAATTTCGTAAGCTTTAATACTAAAAAAGCAACTAATAATAATGTACCATTTGTTTTTCTCTCTGTGTAGAAGGGCGCACCACCACAAGCGTAGTAAGTAGTAAAGTGGGCATTAATTAGCCGAGAAGACCCATTCAAAATGAGTTGAGAGGGCAAAAGTGCAATTGAAACGGCAGGCAGGACATTTTGGGCGGTAAAAGGAGCAACTGTTGGCGAAATTCGAGAGCTTAACAGTAGAAAAAATAAAGAAAGACGCCGGAATCCAATTGGGTAGCAGGTGGCTAAGACGCCATCCCCGTATTGCCTTTGAACAGGAAAAAGCACGTATTAAGGAACTCCATCCCTTTTATCAATTTGATTTCCTAATGACAAAACAAGTATTTGGAAAAGTTTAAGCCAATATTTGAAGCACTTCTTCAATTTTCGGTCAACGCCCATGTGCCAACAACAACACAATAACACTGGCTTAGGCATTTTTTAGACAGCCAAACACACGAATTGGGCGGGTCGCCAAGTGGAACAGCCCAAAAAACGCCACTCTACTCACCTCGTTAACAAAATCAATCTGCTCTCGGTGATCAGCAGGCCACACACATTGTATTAATCAACAGAAATGTAAATAAAACGAACTCGGGAACTCAAATATTCGAAAAAATGAAATAAAACCCAGCAGCGATCCACACCCGCTTTGATGACTGATGCAGTGTGACCGTGCCCGGAGCGTGGCAACATACCACTCGGCTTGGAATATACCAGATTCGAGTTGTGGCCAAAAAACTGAGAAAATAACGGGCGCGATTGCAGTCGCGCATGGACATTCAATTAATTTTTGTCAATACCGTCTGCGCGCAGCCGTTTAAAAGAGTAGCGAACAGTATACGCAGAAACCGCCTTTGTGAATTGGCTTTAATGGTTTCATCCTTGTTTCCCAACTCCTTGTATAAAAACGGTTATATCTTGAACTTTACGCACACCAGAATTAATAGTTATAAGAAATTATCTTAAAAAGGTTTAAATGAAATATATTTTTAAATGATTAATTTTTGTAGAAGATTTTTTTAAGTTTTCTTAACATTTTTTTTAATAGAGTATTTTTGGTATTTATAATGGAGCTCTAACCTGCGAGAAAGAGGGATAGAGCATCTGTAGAGATGGCCAAAGCTTTGACCAGTGTTGAATAATGGCGCAGATCTTCTTTTTTGGTATATATCGCTGAGAATTTGTGCGATTATTCAAGTGCCCACTTTGGTCATACCACCGCCTCAGTTGTCAGTGTGTGTGTGTATTGTATGCATGTGATGTAAGGTCATTCGCGTGAAAATATCAGCGAGGAAAAAATCGAATTTTTGTGTTTTGTGTGCTAGGTAAATGCAATAAAGAGTGCAAAGTCGATCGGTTTAACCCTTAGCCCGTGCGCCAGCGGTGAAAGTGTGAGCCCGCTTGGGCATTTTCCAAGTGAAAAGTCGCCGAAAAGTCAAAGGTGCTGGGTTGCCCAACGCAAAAATTATGACGAAAAGCACACCAGTACCAGTACCAGTGCCCTCTCTCTCGCACACACACACACATGCATATGAGCTGGGAGAGCTAGAACCTAGAGTTGTCAACGTTCTGCAAGGAATTTCGTCATTGAGCGGTGTACATGTGTGCGAGTGTGTGTGTGTGGTGCGTGCCTCGCTCGCTGAGTGTGTGTGCGAGAGTGCGTGCGTGTGTATTGGTAGTTTGTTCTCTTCTTTGGTTGTAAAACACAAAAGAAAAATCATCAGGGAAAAATGTGAAAAATGTACATAATTCGTAACCCAGTCTGCGGCAAAGTGCTCACCAGCCAGTGCCCGAAAATCGTGATGAGATGAAACACCGCGCACCGATTGAAAAACTATTACATAAATAGTGCAAAGTGTAAATGTTATTGAAGGCAAAAAAGCTGAGCAGCCGCGCACGCTGTCGTCATCGCTGCTAAAAAGCAAAGAAAGAAAGAAGAAAGGCGAAAAAGAGAAAGATTAAAAGACACCCCCTTCCAAAAAAAAATAACTAAAAACCCAACGCGTTACTATTGCTATGCCGAAAAGTGTTTAAAAAATACATATACATATGCTCTTTCGTATATTCATACTCCAGTGTGATGTACGATGTACACTTTACATTCGAAGCACTTTATTGTTAATACTGTAAATAAACTAATAACATTTAATGCGTGCGAGTGTGTGTGGGTGTGTGCGGGGAGTAGGGCCGTGCGCCTGTGTGAGTGACCTCGTGTGCATGTGTCGCGTGCTCCGCTGGTGTTGGTGTATCTGTATGAGAGTGTGAGTGCGGCGGCAAGGAGTGTCATGCGTATATTTTTCCTCCCACAATACCCCCTTTTTGCCGCCCCTTTCCCCCTTTTCCAACACTGACCCACTGGTAAAGCCTATCCAACCAACAAAAACAATTCAGCAGCTCCTTTGCTCCGACGAGTTTTATCTTGTTTTGCCGTTTTAATCATATGCGGGCGAACGGAGAAAGCAGTGATAGAGAGAGAGAGAGGAGACAATCACGTCATCCAGCCTGCCATGACACACCAACGTCAACATCTATACAGTGCCTCTTGGCTAATAAACCCGGCTCTGCAAAGCCAAGCTCGCTTTTAATTGCGACTTTCCTGATACTTTTTGCAAAATAAAATTCCGTTGCATACTTCGCGGATCGCAGGCACAGTGGGTTGAAAGTTGTCGATGCTACAACTTATTTCTCTTGGCTATAAAGTTGCAACTATTAGACTTACGTAGCCTTGTAAACTTTCTTGACTTTATTATAATTTTTCTTCACAACAAATAAAAAAGTATAAAAGTACAAAGCAAATTTAGCGCGTCTAAGGTATTGTGGTTTTAAAGAAATTACAACTCAAAGAAAGCTACTTTAACATAATTTTGGAATTTATAATATATATAATTCAAAAATATGAACTAGCAATTTTAAAATTGCTTTATCTAAAACCTGCCGATTTCTTAAAAACTACATTTTTTTTAAATAAGTTTCAAACTTTTCTGAGCTAGGAAATTTTAAAGGTTTCACATACGCAAGTTTTGTTCAAAGCCTGACTTCACTGTACTTTACCATCAATGACCACACCAACACACAGGCATTTGAATAAACTTTATTGGCCAAATAAAGAAGAAGACGTCAAGTTCCCCGTTGAGCGCATGAATTCAATAGTGATAGAGCTCAGTCATATTTTTTTTAAGCCTTTTAATTAAGGCAACTTAATTGGCACCTCACCTCCGCCCGAAATATGACTTTTTCGCTTATTTTAGAATTTTTTTTTTTGTCCGGCATGGCATCCCAAGTTCGATTTTTGGCCTTAGCTCAAACAGCATCGTCTGTGTGAGTGTGCCGCTTTTTGTTTTTTGTGTGGCTTGAGTGAGTGTGCGAGAGAGCAAATAAACTGAGTCATGGCTGACGATGACGTTATGCTGCTGCTCTTTTCTGCTCTATTATATTCCGCTGCCTAACTTGCGGTTAGGGCAATTTGTCTCCAAAGTGTTTATGCTCAAAGTTTGCCAATAAAACGCGAAAGAAGAAGGAACTTTGGCACAAATGCCCGCACACACCACACAGCAACTACAACTACCATGGCATTTAGTATTCGATTGACCTCGAGGCCAGCAGCAAATCGATAGCATTGTTTTTTTGTTTCTCCTCCGAATCGATAACATGCCGCACACAATCCCCCCGCGCCCACCTCCTCCGACCCCAAAAGCACGGCTTTAGAAACTAGTTTGTGTAGGATGCTCTCACTCTGTCATAAATTTGATTTTAAAAGAAAATAAAGAAACAAGTATCCATAAAATGAGATGGAATCACTTTTGTGTACTAGTTATCTTATTGGATGTGCTAATGTTTCTAAACCCCAGTGACCGAGTGAGAAAAAGAAATATATATGGTTAAATGCCAAAACGGTGGTTAAGAAAATAAGTTTACAACCTAATTTATTTAATTTGAAACTAAATAGCCATAGTGAAAGGTTGAGCTATACAAAATAGGTGAAATACTTGTAGGGCAATGAAATTCGATTTCAATTAGCTTTTTTTAAGAGTAAATAAAACTATTTAGCAATGCGTCTAAGCTGTGAACATTTTTCATTGATGTTACATTATGATGATTCAAAGGTTTTTTCGACCATAAACTAATTATTATTAAGTAATAGGACCAAAATAAATTCACAAGGCAACTAGCAAATTTCATTAATCACTGTATCTTAAGAAAGTTTTATTATGCGAGCCCGTCAAATATGACTAATAAGTCTTTTGATATTTATATGTTATCAATTTGCAAGAGCTTCGAAAAAATTAAAAACTACAAAACAAATAAATACTCCTTAACTTAAATCAAAGAGATACAGGTAAATAGGTAAACAGATAGATAGGAAAACTGTTGAGCTGTGCATTGTTTTATAGCAATCTATGTGTTGGGCAAACGCCTCCCAAAAGTGATATATGCCTTTTTGACTTTAAATCTAAATCTGCTAGCATTGCAAATTATTTAATATGTGTGTTACAAACACCTCATCAAATACTATACACATACACCCTTGATCGTTACGCTCAGCGGGTAATGCAAACAGCTGATTTCACATTTGTTCTCGCAAAATTTGTAAAAATAAATACGGCTAACGAATAATAAATGCGACGAGACGACCCCCTGCTCTGCTCTTCCTGATCCCCGTGATCCACACACCCATGCCGAATTAGCAAAGTTCCCTGCCCGAAAAGATGGATAATATGTATTTTCATGTGCGAACCGCACAGAACCGCCCGAAACCAATTCAGCAGTGCGAGCGGGACGGCAACGGACCAGAGCGGTCAGTTTGGACGGCGGTCTGGGTCTTTGGGACTCTGTGACTGGGCCGCGGACATCTGACGTCGTTGTCGACCATGCTTCGCTATAATATAATATTATATCATGTGGCCGGGGTGGTGTTCGTGTTGGTGGTGGTGGTAGTTATACGTATTTGTACAAAGTACTGCATTGGGGCTTTATCTTAATGCGATATAATGAGAGTATGATTCGTGACACGTTACGGAAACATTTCCACCGCCGTTCCATCGGCCGCTGCTGCCTGCACGTCGTCTAGCGGTAAACAAAAAATCACCGCACTATGATTAAGCATTGTCAGTTAGACTGTTTAGTTGCTAGAATATTACATTTTAACCTGTTTTATTTGTTTATTTTTTCATACCATTATTTTTTTTTAAATAAATGGTTTAATTATTTTTGTTTTTGTATTTTGAATAAGGCAAGAAAAAACTTTTATTAACATTTAATATTACATGCAGTAATTTTGTCAGCTATATTTCAGCCCATTCTGTTAAAGTCGGACAACACTATTCCTCCCTATTCTCTGCTCTGATAAGGCTGGAAACAGTTATTCTGTCGTCGCATCCGCATTACGAAATTCAAGAAATAATAACTCTCTAGGCAGCTTGCTCTTATCAGTAACTATGCGCATGTCATGCAGTGAGCAAACGGATTGTTATTTTTCTTCGATCATCAACTAATTGGCCGTAATTACACTCAGACAGTGTCACGGGGCGATCTTCGTACAATCATTGCTTGATTGCATTCTAATTTGTGGTTTGATTCTGTTCGTAAACTGTTTTACCAGGGAAAACCAACAATTGTTTGTTTAGGGGAAGTATATAGTACAAATATTTGAATGAAGTGATTGAAATAAGTTCAGTAATACTAAAATCCAAAATTTTGTATATTTGCACTTAACGTAACCGTTTTTCGTCACTTTGTGAAACGCTCGTAATCGACCTGGTCGATAACGAGACTTACCTCGAGTGATAAGTTTTTGAGTGAATTGTAAGTTAAAAAAACTTTTATAGAGTGATCAACGCCTATACTCTTATGAACGTCGCTTATGATATTAAATTTGCGATTTGAAAGCGGTTAAAAGTATGGCAAAAAGTATGCTGTTTAAGTGTTACAGAATTTAAGACAGCAATTACAAACGCTTTGAATCTGTGCAGGTTTCTGAGGCACCCTTCTTTCGCCATTTTGTGAAACGGTCGTAATCGGCCTGGTCAAGATAACGACTTAACTATTAAGATAAGCTGACGAGTGTATATCAAACGGAACCCAAATCACTGTGCGTCGACGTCGCTGCAGCAGCGCCGCCGGCAGAGGAAGAGGAAGAGGAGGCTACTCTCGTCCGTTGGTCATGTGTTTTCGGTTCAGTCTGCTCGCTGAATTCGCCGCGTTCGCTCCGTTCGCTCTGTTCTGTTCTGTTCCGTTCGCCTCGTTTGGCCCGTTCGTTTTGGCCAGATTCGCTTTTTGTGTTCCCGTTGTACAACAACAACAATAACAACTAGTATAAGTACGACCACTACCTTGCGGAATTAGCAACAACAATGGCCATTGGCTAAAAAGCAGCTAGAAATTGTTGCGCTCCTTGTGTAAAAGATAATTATTTGCTCTCAGTCTCAAGAATCTCTCTTTGTCTCTCGCTCTGTGTCTAGCCAGAAAAATAGTATTTTCGTCGTCGTCAACGTGCCATAATTTCTTTTTTTCTGATTTGCCAGCAAAAAAATAGAATTTTTGGACTGGGACAAATATTTATGAGTGTGTATGAGTGCTGTATGTGAGAGCTTTTCCGTATGTGCGTGAAAATAAAGCTGAGATAGTTAACGTTAAATTAGCAGGCTGAACCACCTTACTCCTCAAGTGGACAGCACGTGTTTGACAGCAGTACAAATAAAATAAATATAACAAAAATATCAATTTGGAGAATTGTATTTAGTTGACTGTTAAATGTTGTTCGTTCGGCTTTCGTTTTGATTTTGGTCTTCATGATTTTGTTGCATCCTTGATTCCGCTCCTTCACCTCTTTTACCTTTTTCATTTTTCAGTGTATGTATTTTGAAAAGTTTTTCTCTCTCTCTCTCTCTCCCTGTCGCTTTCTTTCTTTTTCTTTCACTGATTTATTTTGTTGTTGCAAAAAGCATAAAATTAAAACCGAACGAAAGACACAACAAAAAGAAAAAGACGAAGAAGAAAAGGAAACGCATAAAAGTTATCGTTCAAACGAAAATAAATGCAAAATGAAAAATTTCTTTAACATTTTATTTGCGAACATATGTAGCTTCATGAATTAAGAACAAAATAGAAAAGCTGGAAGAAAAAAACTGGTTTAATTACTAAATAAAAAATTCGCATTCAAGCAAAACACCAAACGGAAGATCCAAAACAAACCAACCAACATCAACAGCATCAACTAATATCAAATTAAATAACTAAGCCCCAATAACGTATATATTTAAAGATCTATTTATAAATTAATATTTACCATAATGATTTAGTAAGTTAAGCTTAAAGTACAAAAAAAATAGAAAAGAAAAAAGAAACACCACAACCAACAACAACCAACCAACAACCACATATAATTAATCAATCATTTAACGGAGTAAATTCATAAATATATAATAAATGCAAATGACAAGAAAATAACGAAAACGACAACAACAACAAGTCACAAGCAACAACACACATCGGCAGCATAATAATTAACAACCAACAACAACAACGGATCAATACCAAAGATGGAGGCAAAATTCTTGGCTGGCGCTCTTTCATTCCTCTCGATATTTTTAGCGATTAATGCTCAATCACTTGGTGAGTACAACCTAAACCCCAACCACATTTATAGCCAATCCCCTACAATAAGCATAATGATAAACAAAGAAGGTTCTTTTAACCTATAAGTTGTCCCCCCAAAATCCCCCTCAAATCTGCATATACATATACGTAGCACTCGAGTATAAAGGAATACAAAAAACATATAGAAAACGTATGGGTAAACTGCAGCTGTGATAGCAGAAATTGCAAAACAGAACACAACCGAACCGAACAAAGCAAAACAATGCGGGGGAAAAAAAGAAGGAGAATGAATAAAAAACATCAGATTGTTTGTGGCTAACTACCCACCAACCCTAAACACTTGCCAACCTTATCCCACGCCCCCTAATTGCCCTGCCACCTAAAGGAGAACTACTCCCACTTATGTTGGGCGAGGGTTTTCCCACCCGGCTTTTCCTCATGCCAAGTTCACCTTTAGGCCAGGCACCGACCACAAAAACGCAAGCAAACAATATTAATAAGAGGTGACACGAATCGATGATGAATTTATTGAACATGTCAGAGAAATCGTTTCAACTATTTTAGAAATTAATTTATAATAAATAGGAGAATGTCACAGCGTTGCTATGTGTTACCTAGGCAAATGAAATATTTGTGGCTATCTGCTACCAATTTAATAGGGGTATACAAAAAAACTACAAATTATTAAGAATTTAATTCAAATTCAAACAAAAATTATTAATTACTTTTACCATTGTTTATTTAGTAATTTATTTATGTTGAGTCAATATTTTACCCAAAAATATGTAAATTATTGAACAAGTTATTTAATAACTTATTAACTGCGTGCTTATACACATTTCTGTGTTATTTTAGCAAAAATGAAAAGACAATTATCCTATTAAAGTCTTTGGCCACTACTATTAAAAATCCAGCTGTTATTTTGCCAACGTTCTCAGCTGTGAAAAGAGCCACAAAATGGACAATCCACATTTCTTCTTGACCTGGCTTTGTGTATTCTCTTTTCAAAGTGCAATAAGCGCCAACCACCCACACCCCCCTATTTTCTAACTTTAGACAAGGTCTCTTCTGCATTCTACTGTTTTGGCCTTTGGTTAAACGGACTTCGATATTTTCGTGTTCCTTTTATACATAGTTCATATTGTTGGCTTGGTTGGACTTGGGATTGGATTGCTGTGCTGCCATATCGATATTGTTGCTTATGTTTGCCCTCTGCCGCTTCTGCCTTGTACGTTTTCCGCCGCCTTTCCCCAGTGCGCGACGGCATTCATTTGATTTTCAATTTTCCACACAATTGCTGAAAGAGAACAGCAGCGAACGAAATGAAGAAAAGGCAAATGAGAAGAAGAGTATCAAGTTCATTTCGTTTTTAGTGAGGGGCAATCTTGAAGACTTTTTGTTTAGCTTTAAGGCGATTTTACATGCGGTCCAATAATTACGGCCTGTCTCTGCTTTTGCCTGCCTGTTTATATTAACTTCAGCCGACCCGAAACGAATCGGACTAAAACGAAACAATTTACCGATTTACCGATACGTACCCGATTCGTACCGGTGGCCTGCATTTTGTTTACATTTTGGAACTAAGCAACCCAGCACCTCCCACCTTCCTTGGGGGGTTCATCTATGTTGCCCGGGCGGTCGTTTCTATCTATTTATTATTCTATGCATACTATCCATTTACCTATTTCACTTTATTCCATACATCTATCCGTCCGGCCGAATGTCTGTCTGGCTCACTACCAAAACCTACGTATGTTCATGAATTTTGATTTTTTTCGCCGTTCAGTTTGGCTGGTTTTGTTTTGTTTCGTACATTATTTAGCCCCATGCAGCTATTTTCACATTCAAGGTGTATTAATTGAGTTTTTTTTTTTTGTTCATATGTTCGCATTTATTCATAGTTGATTGAGGGTATTCGTGCTTAAAGCACAGATGATACGTTTAAAAAGCAGGGCGTAAATAATTTAAGGTTATTTTCTTCATGTCTTTATTAGGTTCTGTGATTGATTTATTCAATTATTTATACTTGGGCGAGCTAATTATGGATATCAAAGGATAAAAAAGGGAGGTGAAAATTATAAACAGCTTAAAAAGGTGTCTGGTTAATAGAAAATAGCTTATTTTAAGGGCATCTCTATTTCGTTAATTATACATTACTTTGCTTTTATTAGCCCTGTGTGTGTGTGTTTTTTTTGGCACCTTCTCTTTAGTGTACCATATTTTCAATGATTTTCCACAATGTTTACGTAAATAAGCATCTGAAATAAAAGAACTTTCCAGGCACACATTGAAGGAAAAACCGCCTGGGAAAATAAAAGAAAAGCGCTCCCTCCAGGGATACATTGTGGGCGGCGGGGCAAACAGTTGTACATATATATATGTTTGCACTACATGAATCATTTTGAGTTTTGGTACGAGGGAGCGGCAGACAGAAACCCAAAAAGCCAATATAAAGAAGCATTCCTTTGTTTCCCCGGCGAACTTTTCCCCACGCCGCTTCAAAGCAATTTTCAGCTAGTGGCGTAAAAACCACGTGTTGTCCAGGTGCGTATGCAGTGGACGAATGTGCGAAGAGCCAAACAATAATGCTTGGGTTCTCCCTCATTCAACCCCGAAGCTTACGAATAATTCCCTAGGTCTTGTCACATATATTTTTTTTTTTTTTTGTTTTTTTTTGTTTTTTTTTTCCGAAGTACACGAGGAGGTGGAATTCCTTGGCAAGTGCTTTCATTTCGGCTGTTGACTGCGCACATTCGACTAACCAGTTTCATTTTGCCATGTTTATTTAACGACATTTTCATTATATTAATAAATGTCAAATATTTAAATTTCGGCTCACCCAGCAAAAGGAAGCTAAAGCAAACAAGGAACGTAAAACGAGACCGATGCACAGTGGACTTAAAAGTGGTCGTAACAAAAACAAATATTTTTTTCAGTTTTCTAAAGAATAGAAAATTTAATTATGCACGAAGTGTTTGTGTGGGATAACTTAAAAATTAGTAAATATGTATTTATTGAGGGTAAAATATGTAATTGAAATTGCAGGACTTATAATAATTTTACTGCTTCTTAACCTTCATATTCCAAATAATTTATTGTTATATATGTTTTCTTATCTTGTGCGTTTAGTGAAACTACTATCCCTTGAACTGTGCAACTAATTTTCTATATCTTTTTGGGCATAAATCATGTCCCCCCTTTACAGATCAAAATCTCAAGAGGTTTTCGTTTTAACTCCTTGAACCGCTAACAATAATTCAATGCTGCTTTCGCTGCATTTGATATAAAAATACATTACAAAAGGCACAGATTGTCTTGGGTGGTATCTGCATTTTGCATTGAATCCGAGATGATTTATGCGATACGAGAGGAAGAAGTGTGGGCAGGGTACCTGTCTGTTTTGCCTCTTTGGCGAAAACATTATTTTTATTAAGACAATAAACATGAAATGTAATTTCCCTTTCAATGTCATCGTTGTGTGGCGTTGGCTTCAGTTTAGTTCAGTTCAGTTTGGTCTCGGATTGGGTTGGGTTGGGTTCGGTAGTTGGGTAGTTGGGTGGGTGGTTTTTCAGGACCACCCGCACACACAGAGAGAAAGGCGTCACGGTGAAAGAAAGAAGGGCTTGGCTGGCAGTTTCTGTTTTCTATAATGCGATGGTGCTACAACAGTGGTTTAGTGTGGGCGTGGCATTGGCTTGCACTTCCTTCGCCAAGCCCCCCCCACTTCCACCATTTCTGATTGCACATTGTCTGGAATTCTGCGATTGCAGTGGAAAACTCTATGGCTCTGTCTCTTTTCAACTGGTTGTGGCACATTTTGCACTGTTCGTTCACTTGTTTTTTTTTTCTTTTTCTTCTGCTCCCTGTTCTTCTGACTCTTGTTCTTGTTGTTCTTCAATATAGAGGTTGCCTTGTGTTTCCGGTCCGTGCCAGATAATGGTTGCTTAAACAGGGCACGTCCATAAATATATATATGTGCATTGTCTGTATGTTTTGTACACAGAAAAATAATAAGCCCAAATGTGAATGACTAGTTATTTGCTTAGTCTTTGCTTAACTAAGATCTTTTAAAACCAACTTTTTGATCTTAAACAATCACAATTAATCATAAGGTGTTAAGAGATCTAAAATTTACGATTTTATTAAATTTAAGGTGAATTTTATTTGCCTAATTTTGTTCAATTTACATTCATATTTAAATTGTAATTTTTATGCAAAATTAAATGTGCTTAAAAATAACATAAATATATTTTAAGGTGCCTTAAGCGTATCATCGTCGAAAACCGTTGCCAATTTAATTAAGGTCTAGTGACGCAAGATGAGAATAAAATTCTCATTTTTATGACGCACAATAGCGGAGTAAAATAGCCGTAAATCAAATTTCGCCACCTTGACTTTCGGGCGGCCTTTTCTTTCGCGCAGTGTATGAATATGCGTGTGCACAATTATGTGATGCATTTTCCTGCTAATTGAGGGCGGTATGGAGGGGATGCCAAGCACAAAAACAAAGTTGTGTTTAAACGCCCTTATCTATTTATCGTTGCGCCCCCCTTTCCCAAACCTTCACCGCACTCGAGTTTATGGTTGTTGCTCTTTTATTAGCAGGTACCCGATAAAAGCTTAAAGTTCACACATTTGGCAGACCTTTCATCCGGCTATATCCGTGCTTATTTGTCTGTATGTGCGCTCCAATATTTGCCTTTGTTATAGACAAAGTATTATATTTAAAAATAAATATAGTGTTTTTCTTGATTTTTTTCTGCGTGAGAACAATAAAAATATACATACCGCTGCTGAATCTTTCGCTATTTTCTCTTAAAATATTCTCCTTCCGAAATGTCAAGTTTTCGTTCGTTTTTCATCTTTTGTTCTCTTTTTCATTCGCACTTAAAGACAATTGCGTATGGCCCACTGTGCCGGGCCGTATGTATACATTTGTATATATTTTCCTATAGATTATATAGATGTGTGTATTTTGAATGTCTTACTGTCTGCCAGAAATGCTCCACGGCTTT